GCTTTATTTGAGTAAATGTAAAACTGTTGGAGCTTTACAGATGAAGAGTGATTCATTTAGATGATATATTATATATATGAGGTGTTTTTGTGACCTGTGTTACCATAAGATACTTGTTTTGTCTCGTTTTAATCTGATTTGTTTCTTTTACTTTGATTTGTTTAAATTCTTTCAACTTCATTTCCAGGTTTGGGTTGTTTTGCATTAATTTTTGTGACCATTATGTTTGTGTGCAGGAAAGACAAGGACCTTCTGTTCTTTTGACACTTGACCTTTGTTTGACCCTGATAATGATGTAAACCCTCTGTGTCGTGTAGAAGACGCCTGAAGACAACGTGGGGGTCCACTTCCTGCTCCTTCGACAAAGTGGAGTGACAGTTAAAGCTTCGCTGGGAGGAGGAGGGGCGTTAATGGCTGATGTTTGTGGCTTTTATATATGCAGTGTTGGGGAGTAACAGATTACATGTACCGGAGTAATCAGAGTACAAATTAGAGGTTTTGAGGCACTGCTAAGGATAAGTGAATATTTGCAATGTTTGGAGTAAAGTTTAATCCAGATAAATGATTTGATAGAAATCTAAATAGTCTAATGTCTGCGAGGTTTTGAATGTTTTGAGGAACTGTCAAAGACAAGTGTTTGGCAGATGTTGCGAGATAGGGTATAGAGGATGTTATAAGGTGGTTTGTGAAGCTAAGTGATATTTTAAGTGTTGTTAAAGTTATTTGTCTGGTGTTTTCTAAAGCCAAGTGATTTTTTTTGAGTGCTGTTAGTTTTCTACATTGTGTTTTTAAAGTTAAACGATATTTTGAGTGTTATTAGAGTTATTTAAAAAGAAGTGAGACTCAGGCTGCGTAATATAGTCCTGGTCTAAACCTGGTCTAAACCTGGTCTAAACCTGGTCTAAACCTGGTCTAAACCTGGTCTAAACCTGGTCTAAACCTGGTCTAAACCTGGTCTAAACTGGTCTAAACCTGGTCTAAACCTGGTCTAAACCTGGTCTAAACCTGGTCTAAACCTGGTCTAAACCTGGTCTAAACCTGGTCTAAACCTGGTCTAAACCTGGTCTAACCCTGGTCTAAACCTGGTCTAAACCTGGTCTAAACCTGGTCTAAACCTGGTCTAAACCTGGTCTAAAAGGTCTAAAAGTTTTTTATTCTCATCTCAATGAGAAACTCATCAGTTTGTCGTTTGTTGATTTAAGGTTGAGTTTTTCTGTGGTTTCGAGTTCAGACTCTGGGCTCCTGACGCGGCTCCTGAAATGTTTAGAAACATAAAAGTGTGAGGAGGGTCTGAGCGGAGTTTAAGGCCGACGGGTCGTATATTTCTGAAACTTTCTTACTCCATAGTCAGGCTCCTTCTCTCCCTCCCTCTGCTCCCCTTTCCCCTCCTTTCTTTATCTCCGATTCCTCCCCCCGCCTCTGTTTGTCTCTGTCTCTCCTCCTCACTTTAGTCTGAAGGATGTGACAGAGATAAGACGAGTGGAGACTCTGTGAACCAAGGTCACAAAAAAAAATAAAAAACTCCAAGAGAAAAAAAAACAAAACAAAATCCAGAGAGTGTGGAATCTGTGTGTGTGTGTGTGTGTGTGTGTGTGTGTCTGTGTGTGTGTGTGTGTGTGTGTGCGTGTGTGTGTATGTGTGCGTGTGTGTGTGTGTATATGTGTGTGTATATGTGTGTGTGTGTGTGTGTGTCTGTGCGTGTGTTGTGTGTGTGTGTGTGTGTGTGTGTGTGTGTGTGTGTGTGTGTGTGTGTGTGTGTGTGTGTGTCTGTGTGTGTGTGTGTGTGTGTGCTGTGTGCTGTGTGTGTGTGTGTGTGTGTCTGTGTGTGTGTGTGTGTCTGTGTGTGTGTGTGTGTGTCTGTGTGTGTGTGTGTGTGTCTGTGTGTGTGTGTGTGTGTGTGTGTCTGTGTGTGTGTGTGTGTGTGTGTGTGTCTGTGTGTGTGTGTGTGTGTCTGTGTGTGTGTGTGTGTGTGTGCTGTGTGTGTGTGTGTGTGTGTGTGTGTCTGTGTGTGTGTGTGTGTGTCTGTGTGTGTGTGTGTGTGTGTGTCTGTGTGTGTGTGTGTCTGTGTGTGTCTGTGTGTGTGTGTGTCTGTGTGTGTGTGTCTGTGTGTGTGTGTGTGTGTGTGTCTGTGTGTGTGTGTGTGTGTCTGTGTGTGTGTGTGTGTCTGTGTGTGTGTGTGTGTGTCTGTGTGTGTGTGTGTGTGTGTGTGTGTGTGTGTGTGTGTCTGTGTGTGTGTGTGTGTGTGTGTGTGTGTCTGTGTGTGTGTGTGTGTGTCTGTGTGTGTGTGTGTCTGTGTGTGTGTGTGTGTGTGTGTGTGTGTGTGTCTGTGTGTGTGTGTGTGTGTGTGTGTGTGTCTGTGTGTGTGTGTGTGTGTGTGTCTGTGTGTGTGTGTGTGTGTGTGTCTGTGTGTGTGTGTGTGTGTGTCTGTGTGTGTGTGTGTGTGTGTGTCTGTGTGTGTGTGTGTGTGTGTGTGTGTCTGTGTGTGTGTGTGTGTGTGTGTCTGTGTGTGTGTGCTGTGTGTGTGTGTGTGTGTCTGTGTGTGTGTGTGTGTCTGTGTGTGTGTGTCTGTGTGTGTGTGTGTGTGTGTCTGTGTGTGTGTGTGTGTGTGTGTGTGCTGTGTGTGTGTGTGTGTCTGTGTGTGTGTGTCTGTGTGTGTGTGTCTGTGTGTGTGTGTCTGTGTGTGTGTGTGTGTCTGTGTGTGTGTGTGTCTGTGTGTGTGTGTGTGTGTGTGTGTGTGTCTGTGTGTGTGTGTGTTCTGTGTGTGTGTGTCTGTGTGTGTGTGTGTCTGTGTGTGTGTGTGTGTTCTGTGTCTGTGTGTGTGTGTCTGTGTGTGTGTGTGCTGTGTGTGTGTGTCTGTGTCTGTGTGTGTGTGTGTGTGTGTGTGTGTGTGTGTGTGTGTGTGTGTGTCTGTGTGTGTGTGTGTGTGCTGTGTGTGTGTGTGTGTGTCTGTGTGTGTGTGTGTGTCTGTGTGTGTGTCTGTGTGTGTCTGTGTGTGTGTGTGTGTGTGTGTGTGTGTGTGTGTGTGTGTGTGTGTGTGTGTGTGTGTGTGTGTGTGTGTGTCTGTGTGTCTGTGTCTGTGTGTGTGTGTCTGTGTGTGTGTGTGTGTGTGTGTGTGTGTGCTGTGTGTGTGTGTGTGTGTCTGTGTGTGTGTGTGTGTGTGTGTGTCTGTGTGTGTGTGTGTCTGTCTGTGTGTGTCTGTGTGTGTGTGTCTGTCTGTGTGTGTCTGTGTGTGTGTGTCTGTGTGTGTGTGTGTGTGTGTGTGTGTGTGTGTGTGTGTGTGCTGACTGCCTTTAAACTTCTTTTCACTGGACGTTTGTGTTTTTGACTTTCATTTCATATTTTCACGTTGCGTTAAATCTGATAAAACTAAAACTGAATAAATACTTTTTGCTATTTTATTTAATCACCTTATTTTTCTACAGCTCATCTGATAAACAAAGAAAATAAAAGCACGAAAACACCGAAGACAGTAAAATAAAACAATAAATAAAAAAGCATTAAAAAACCGGGACCAGTCAAAAGTTTGTACGGTTTTTTCCCTTACTACTTTCTTACAACTTTTTAAACAACAAACAAGCAAAATATATGGAATTATATAGTAAAGAAAATAAATTAAACTAAAAGTTGCCCTCCCTTTGCTTTGTTAAAAAAAAAATTCATTTGTTTGCTACATAATTCCATTTATCTTGCTTCATATACACGATGTCTTCTGTGTGTTTATAAAAAGGAGAAAGTAGTAAAAAAAATGTAAATAAAATAACCAGAACAGAACCACAGATGCTTTTTGTAGTTTTTTCCCCTAATATCCATTTGTTTTGGACCATTTTTACATGATATTAGATTATTTTACTGTTTTGTCCCTGTGCTGTGCTCCGTCTCTTTCTGTACACTTCTTTTCTGTGTTTACTGTGGATCATATTTGAATCATGTTCTGTTCTTTTGGTGTTTTCTGTCTGATGAGGAAGTGTTTTGTCCTTTAGATTCACTTATTTTTCACCCACATATTTAGGATTAAATTTGTATAATATTCTGTACCTTTGCTGTGCTCTCTCTTTGTACATTTATTTTTCCTGTATATTTGAGGTCACGTTTACACTGAAATGAATCACTGTATCAGAAACGATTTGTGTCCAGACACAACGTTTCTGTGTCACAGTCAAAAATCTTCCTGTCGTCACGTGGACGATAAAAACAAGGACGTGGAGCAGCAGGTCTGAATTTGCAAAAGATGATTTTGAGTCGAGTTAGATGGGAAGTGTGAAAACTGTTTTTTTGTGAACCGACAACAAGGTTCAGTTGTTACTGAACGTACCACTGGATTTTAAGACGTTTGTCTAAATCAGACGTGTCAGACTCAGGCCCGGGGGCTGAATTTGGCCCATGATAATTATATTTGGGCCATGAGATCAAATCAAGTCTGTATCAGAGCTGCTACAGATCGACTATAGAGACATGGTTTATTTAAAACTAAAATGTTGTATATGCTGCTTGTTCTGGATTCAATGTTTAAAAAAAAAACTATTATTAAACATTTATTTTAATAAGAAAAGATTTAACATTACAGATCTCGAAAGAAGAGAAAACATGCAGATGCTGTTGAAATTTGTCAGTAAATATTTAATTTGACCCACGACTTAGTCCCAGTCTTTAGTTTTTAATTTTGGCCTCTGTGAGTTTGAGTTTGCTGCTCTGTTTTTTGTTTAAACTGTTTTCCTCAATATCGTCACATGACGACGTCACAAACCCAGAGAATCAGAAGGAGCGAGTCACAGTGTCGTGTCCAATCAGGACGAGACTCCAGCTCCTACATCAGAGTATCAGAGTTTTCAGGAGTCCCACAGTCCCCATCACATCTGGACTCACATACACACTCGTGTGAACGGGGCCTCAGATCATGTTATATTATATTACATAGTTCCGTACCTTTGGCCTGCTCTCTCTCTTTGTACAGTTATTTTTCCTATATATTTCAGATCATATTCTGTTATAATATCCTGTACCTTTGGTGTACTTTCTCTCTGTCGGATGAGGCAGTTCAGGTTGTTGCTGATGTGAGTGTCCAAACCTCGAGCCAAGTTCCAGGGTTTACAGATCCAGTGGTTGTCTTCACCTCTGCAGACACAAAAGAAAAGGAAAATAAGGATTCAAATTACAACAGGACCCGGTCAAGCAGAAGTAAACAACAAGACCAAAAACTCAAGTGAATTCATCTGATATAAAAATGTATTGAACAGATACATATGTACTCTAGTTTATGAAACTGTTGACCTTTTTTCTGTATCCATTTTTGGTTCTAAAGTTCCATCCGTTTTAAACAGACCATGTAATGAAACATGGAACAAAAATTATTTCCCAAATTTCAAAGACCTGAAAAATCATGTAAATAAATGTTTGTATTTCATCATATCTTGTGTTATTCCATCTTTGAACTGTTGATGAAGGGACAGGATTTTTCAAAAAAAAAAAGTATTTAAAATGATAAAAAATGTTCTTGGAAGGACTGACATATTTTATAGAAATAGTTTCCTTTCATTTTGAAGTAATATTAAAGTTTTCAGAAGAAAAAAGTGACAAATGATGTAAAATCCTGCACCTTCTACTTCACAGGTGTCAAACATAATAAGACCTTTAATCTGGCCCTCGGCTGATTTTCTACTAAAATATTTTAATTATATTTTCTATTAAAATCTTGTTAATTTTCTGTGGTGTTTATCACAGCAGCGTCTCCAGCGTCTCTGTACGTGGCCCCTCCCACCAGAGCAGCACAAATGAAGACTTGTCTCTTTCCAAACGCTCTTAAAGGACGATCGTTTTGACTGTTGACCGTGACACCCTCATCAGAAAAATGTCCAACATGAGAAAAGTGGAGCCGAGTGCAGGATTTTACAACAAAAATTGACTTATTCCTATTTTACATACAAGTTCATGTTAAAACTTTGTGTTGAAATTGTATTTTTCTTCTTAAAGTTTCAGGTTGTTCATAAAATAATATTTTGTAAAAGAAAGAGTTCATCAAATTAAAAAAGATTTCTGTAATAGATTTGTGTTTTCTCTGCACAAATATTTGAACTTATTGTTATTTTTGAGGTTTATATATGCCATATATATATATACACATATATATATATATATATATATATATATATATATATATATCATATATATAGTATATATAGCACATATATAGTTTTCTGATCCGGCCCCTTTGAGATCAAAGTCGGTTGGATACGACCCCTGGACCAAAATGACTTTGACACCTCTGTTCTACTTGTTTGTAACAATTTTCCCTCCGTTACTTTTCCCTCCGTTACCATGAACCTTTCTTAATAAAAAATCTCATGACTCTAAAAGTAAGAGGTTTTTCAACCTAATCTTGTACCATATGGTAGAAAACTATATGAAGCAAATATTCAAACCAGTTTGTTAAGGATATGTAAGTGAGAACCAAGAGTTATCACTGTTTGGATTTATTGACCAAAAAGTGCTGCATATTTCATTCCCTCCGTTACCGATGTGAGTTTTTTAAATTTTTTGTCTTGAACTTGAAAGAATCTCACAGGTTTAACTTGACCCTGTTGGAGTGTAACTCTTTCCTACATTCTGATACTTTACTTATTTCAATAGTTCCTCTAGTTTCTGAATAAGAGACATTTGAATGTCAAAAATCTGACCCTGTTTCCCTCCGTTAACACTTGACCAGACCCAAAAGCAGCTCAAAGTTTGTCTAGAAAGCTCCGTGGGTGAGAATATTTCAAAGGAGCCCACTGTAGGCTGCGTTACAGGTCAGATCTGTGGAGAGGCGCCGCATTCACAGACAACACGATTGTATTTTTGAACAATAAAAACTCCCGTAGTGAATAAAAGCGACACAGATTCTACACAGAGAGACTCCGGGCAAAGCAGGAACGTTCCGCAGTGGAGCTTTAAAGCGCCCGTTACCTCTGGGCTCTGGTCTGGAAGCAGCGGATGAACTGCGGCAGCTCGGTCTGGAGGTTGAAGGTGAGCGGGAGCCAGTCGGACTTGACCCGGCGGGACACGGCGGACAGACAGTCTTTGACCGTGAGGAGGCTCTCGCACGGGAACTGGTTCAGCAGGACGTGAGGACGCAGTTCACTCAGAGTCCTGCAGGGGGAGACAGAGACACAGGGAACTGAGGAAGAGCTTTTCTCAGCCGGGTTCTGCTGCTGCGGGGGACGATGTGACGATGTTCAAATCTCACAGTTCGATATTATCACAATAAACATCTCACTGTACAATATTTATTACAATATTTTGGAGACGCTGATAAAACTGTAGCTAGGAAACTTTATTGCTTTTAAAATACAGTCGTCACCCCACACCTAAACCAGGACTAAACCAGGACTAAACCAGGACTAGAGCAGGACTAGACCAGACTAGAGCAGGACGAGTCTGACCTGAAGTCCTTGATGTGGTTGTAGGCCCAGATGACGTCGGCCTCGTCCTGATCGTCCGTCAACTTAAACCGAGGGTGAGTCAGATTATTACTGACCTGAGAGAGCTCCGAGTACACTCTGAAAACACACAAACACACAAATACTGTCAAATACACTCTGAAACACACACACACACACACACACAATACTGTCAAATACACTCTGAAACACACACAAACACACACAAATACTGTCAAATACACTCTGAAACACACACAAACACACACAACACACAAAATACTGTCAAATACACTCTGAAACACACACAAACACACACACACAAAATACTGTCAAATACACTCTGAAACACACACACACACACACACACAAACACACAAATACACACAAAATACTGTCAAATACACTCTGAAACACACACACACAAACACACACAAATACACACTACTGTCAAATACACTCTGAAACACACACAAACACACACAGTATTGTAAAATACTCAAACACACTCATACACACAAGGTACAAAGTGTGTAACTGTCAGTGTTCTGGTGGTGACAGATAAAAGTGTAAAAACTGTCGCTGGTGTTTTTGATGTCAGTTTGTTTTCATGGAGATAAGTCAGAAAATCATTATTTTATTTGTATTTATTTCAAATATTAAGTCGTGTCACCACACCACAATTATATTTTATTTTATTTGTTAAATATTTAACTTTGAGTCATGAGAACTTTTATCTCACCTGGAGGGAAACAGTGAAAAACAGAAGAGACGAAAGAGAAAAGACGATAGAAACACAGAAAAATGTGAAAAGAAAAAGACGAGACAGGGACAGGAGAGAGGAGACAGGGACAGGAGAGAGGAGACAGGGGCAGGAGAGAGGAGACAGGGGACAGGAGGAGAGGAGACAGGGAGGAGAGAGAGACAGGGAGGAGAGAGGAGGAGGAGAGAGGAGACAGGGGCAGGAGAGAGGAGACAGGGACAGGAGGAGAGACAGGGGAGAGGAGAGAGGAGAGGGAGGAGAGACAGGGCAGGAGAGAGGAGACAGGGCAGGAGAGAGAGGAGACAGGGACAGGAGAGAGAGGAGACAGGGAGGAGGAGGAGAGGAGGAGACAGGGGCAGGAGAGAGGAGACAGGGGCAGACAGGGAGACAGGAGAGAGAGAGGAGGACAGGGACAGGAGAGACAGAGGAGGAGACAGGGGCAGGAGGAGGAGAGGAGGACAGGGGACAGGAGAAGAGGGAGACAGGGGCAGGAGGAGAGGGAGACAGGGGCAGGAGAGAGAGGGAGGACAGGGAGGAGAGAGGAGACAGGGAGGAGAGAGGAGACAGGAGGAGAGAGGAGACAGGGAGGAGAGAGGAGACAGGGACAGGAGGAGAGAGGAGACAGGGGCAGGAGAGAGGAGACAGGGACAGGAGGAGAGAGAGACAGGGACAGGAGGAGAGACAGGAGAGAGGGGAGCAGGAGGAGAGGAGGCAGGGACAGGAGAGACAGGAGGAGAGAGGAGACAGGGACAGGAGGAGAGGAGACAGGAGACAGGGGCAGGAGAGAGGAGACAGGGACAGGAGAGAGGAGACAGGGCAGGAGAGAGGAGACAGGAGACAGGGACAGGAGAGAGGAGACAGGGACAGGAGGAGAGAGGAGACAGGGGCAGGAGAGAGGAGACAGGGGCAGGAGAGAGAGAGGGAGGAGAGAGGAGACAGGGACAGGACAGGAGGAGAGAGGAGACAGGGAGGCAGGAGAGAGGAGAGGAGACAGGGAGACAGGAGAGGAGAGAGAGGAGACAGAGGAGACAGGGGGAGGACAGG